TAATAATAATAATAATAATAATAATAATAATAATAATAATAATAATATGCATTTATGTGACACCCATCCCGGAGCTCTGATAGATACGTATTTTCTTTTGTCTCATCTAACTAGGTTCAACACAGATGCAGCCCGTTTTGTCTCGGCGGTTTGTGAGTGTGTGGCTCCATCTCCATCCGAAACGCGCTGAATAGAAGTTCAATGACAAACCTGAGTGGCTTTAAAACTACCTCTAGTTTGTTCTAAATCTATATATGTAGATATACATATACTCTTATTCTGCCTAATTTGAGTCTTCTTAAGTCTTTTGAAGTGAGAAATCAAAGAGAGACAAGACACAATTGAGTGACATTTGGGGGATGAGCATAAATAAGATGACGTTAAACTGATAAAAAATAAAAATAAACCCAGGTATTTTATTTCGCTTTAAAAAAAAAACAAGCTGGGGGAATTATTTTTACAGTATAGGATTTCATCCTTATTTCTCATATATTCAATGTAGACAATATTCTTTCCTATTAATGTTGAACTTTTTTGCAAATGACTGTAAATATTTTCGATTTTTTTTTCACCGAATTATTCTGTATCAAATATCGTTTCATATTTTTTATATCATATCTCGAAATTAAATATTTGGCCAAAAAAACTGAATTACATGCACACACACACACACACACACACACTTTCTGGGTCCACCAAGGGCCTCCTTTTTATGTCAATTATTCCAGTGCAATAGAAAGTATTTGGAGCTACTTGCAATGATCTTTTTAAAAGAAACATTTCAGATACTTTTATAGATTTTTAAATCACTTAAATAAATTCGAGTGCTTGTTTTAAAGAATGTATTAAGCTAAAAGCCCGTGTATGAAAAGTCCATCCAAACCGTTTATTTCCGGCTCTATCATAAAGCTCGAAGCTGTTTTCCCCTTTCAGTTCAGATATTGATCTCAGCGTTCGAAATATTGATCGAAATATTGATCATCGATCAGTTCAGTCAAACTCAGCGCTGTTTCCTAAACACTGAGGCGTTTGGGAGATCTTTCTAGCCGTTAGGATCTGACACGGCTGACACTGGAAATATAAGCTGAAACGACATTGTTTTTTTTATCCGTTGGGCAAAACGCCATTTAAAACCTGGCTCCTTCACTCTATCACTAGGTTAATAATTATATTCGCTTTTACTTGTAATTTGACTTTTTGGCGAGGAAAACCCATTCAAGTTTTTATGTTTTTATTATAAGTTTTATTTTTAAACTTCTTTATTACTCAACCTACTCTTCATTGTTTTCTTTATTTAACTTGTCAGCATCTGGCGAAACAATGGCAATTCATAAACGTGTTTTTTTGCTCCTGTAAAGCACCCCCTGTGTATCAGCAAGAGTTGAAGCTCTGGTACAGTGGAGTTATTTTTGGTGGGCTGCAGCCATTCAAAAACACCCTTGAAAATAATATTTGAGGCCTGTGAGACCAAGTGTGTGTATGTGTGTATGTGCAAAATTGTTTAGTTGATTATTTATCTATTTTTCTAGTTTTTAAAAATGTATAATAATGTCATTGATGTCAAATCTGACTTTAAATGAATCTCGAATTATGTTTTAAAAAAGAGTTAAACTATAATTTGACTTATAATTATCCATATATTTAGATTTAAATGTTATCTTATTTTAAACTTATCCAGCATATTTTGAATGATCAACAAATCTTTGGAGAACTCATCAGTGTTTTCCATTAATTTCAATAACGTTTGTCATAGAGGCCTCTGACAAATGGCTAGTGACTTATGAGAAAAGGAGACTTTGGATTATAGAATATCGAATGAAACGGAGTCAAATCAGTCATTACATTTATTCCAAAGCACCAAATGTGCTGAAGTGCCTGCATGTCTCATTAAGGGACACTGGAGCTAATTACAACAGAAACAAAGGGAGATGGCTCCAGAAATTAAAAGGTTTTTAGATACACAAAAGGATGTCATCCGTCGGGTTTTCATAATTAATGTAAACTCTTGCATGCTCTGTAAAAATATTCAATTTTTTCCAAATATCCTTTGAATAAGAGAAATACTCTTGTATGAAAAATTTAGAAAATAATACTTTATAGAATGTAATTTTCTGCAGACCTACTGCTTTTATATTTAGAGCATAAACTGTAAATATAACAGTATTTTTATATATATTCATTCCACACTGAGATGTTTAATTATACCTTCTCAAGCGATTTTGGGTAATGAAGTAATGAAGAAAGCAATATTTATTTGTTTTTTTTACCTCTGTGTTAGGGATGTGATGGACTTACTACGCGTCCTGCCTTTCGTCCAATAAAGGCTCCTAAACTGTGCCGCCACACAGCAAGTATAGAGAAAGATAGAGAGAAATTATATTTATTAGTTAGTTAATTTATTTTGAATTCTTGTACAAAGTAAAGAGGATTGTTGACTTTGCTTTGGTTCTTCGAGTCTCACATAATGCTTGTTTCCCAGCCTGAGTTTCATTCTTAACTATGGGAAATCAGCTTATTGAAAGTCTTGTATGCCACCAATACATCCAGCATCAAAGCAAACACACACACACACACACACACACACACACACACACACACACACACA